GATTCTCTTATTTCTTGGAAGAGCAAGAAGCAATCTATTGTGTCTCAATCTTCAACCGAAGCAGAATATCGTGCTATGGCATCCACTACCAAAGAGATTGTTTGGTTACGTTGGTTACTTGCAGATATGGGAGTTTTTCTTTCACATCCCACTCCTATGTATTGTGATAATCAGAGTTCCATTCAGATTGCTCACAACTCGGTTTTTCATGAACGAACTAAGCACATTGAGATCGATTGTCACCTTACTCGTCATCATCTCAAGCATGGCACAATTACTTTGCCATTTGTTTCTTCTTCTTTGCAGCTTGCAGATTTCTTTACCAAGGCGCATTCTATTTCTCGTTTTCGTTTTCTTGTTGGCAAACTCTCGATGCTTGTAGCTGCTGCATCGTGAGTTTGAGGGGAGATGTTAAGAAATATATGATTATTTTGTTAACATTATTTATTAAGGGTAGAATAGTCTTTTAAGTTTTCTTTATTTTAGACTATATATAGTCTCTTTGTATTTAATGCTGCAGTGATGATTTTATAATTTCCACTACTATCTTTTGCCATGATCACGTTTGGAGACTGCTTTAGGCCATCTGCTTTAAGAATTCTCCGATCTTCCTTGTTTATCCATATTGGGAATCCATATTCATCTGCTAAAAGATTTCTTTTGAGATTTGGTACTTGAAGTTCGGAAAAGATGGATGAAGCTTGTGAGACAACTGCTAAGGCATTGCTGCCAAGTTCCTTAGCAGTTTTCAACACTTTCTACGTTGCAACCTTCTCCTATCCATTGGGAAGACGTTACTGCACTCAACCAATTGTTAATATCAGACCTTCTCAAGGAAATCTTGCCCAAATCAGTGTCCTTAATAGTCAAAATGGAACAATTTAATTCTTCTTTGGCATCTTTCAGAAGTTCCAAACAATCATCAAATGCATCCTTTTCCAGGGACTTATCAATTTTTTTAGTCTTGGCACGATCAATAATAATTTCATCAACCCCCTCGGAAACAACGTCTATTAAGGCCTTGAGGATTTCTTTTAGTTGAGTGGCTGCACTACCCTTAACGGTCTTCAAAAGGTTATCCTTACATGTTTCTTTGTAGTTTGTACCTGCACATACTGTTTCTACAGCCTTTTCTGTTGTGATCACATGCTTCGGGGCAGAATAGGCTGCATTCTTAGTTCTTTGTTGGAAGTTTCAACACATTTCTGATTGAGAAACCACACAATTGCTGCAGAAACCACAAGGTGGACGACAACACTTGACATAATAGCAATTGTGATCCTCCTCCTTATCTTCTATTGTCTCTCTTGCTTTCGTCATTCTGTAATCAAGTCAAAATCCTGGAACACCATTTTTGTGTTTTCGCAAATGAGGAAGGAAAAACTTTGCCTAGGCCTTCTTAGACTCAAAAGCCAAGGTAGTAAGAATGTAGAAGTTTTTCCACCTCCTTTAGTTTCCTCTTCATTTTATGGTTTTCTATTTTTTTGCTCTTTCCTCTTTTTTTTTTTAAGTAATAAAAATAGTGCAAACAGGGCCGGCCCGAGAATTTAGAGGTATAGTCGACTAATTATTAAAAGGCCCTCAATCAGGGGCGGACCCAACACCTAGCTAGCCCCTCAGCCGCCCATGCTGGATCCGTCGGGAGCTTCTTCAGGTAAGTCGCAGACGCCGTCCATCGGGAAGGAAGAAATGAAGAAGACAATGATTTTTTTCCTTTCTTAATGTTTGAACTTTTTTTAAAATAATAATAATAATAATAATAATAATAATAATAATAATAATAAGGGCTAGCCACCCAACCCAAATGCCCAATCCATGGGTTTTGAGTCCATTAGTCCATTTTTGATTAGAGGAAATTACATAATTCCAGGTATTTCAACTTTAGAGTGCAAAAAGCATGTAAGAATATTTTTTAATCAAAATTCAGGTATTGATTTAAAAATTATATATTATTCCCACCCTACCCAATTCCAATCCCAATACCAAACCCTAAATCATTTTTATCAATTC